GATGATGATGATGATGATGATGATGATGATGATGATGATGATGATGATGATGATGATGATGATGATGATCATGATGATAATGACGAGGATGAGCATTGATGAATATGATATGATGATGAATTGTTGAGTTGTTGATGTGGCGACAGAAGATACGACGGGAGGTTCGGGGGGGGGCTGGTTTCGTTCGTGTAATGAGTAGAACACGATGCCGATGAGTTGTTGATATGTATATATATATATAACTCGTGCTTGGCAATGGCGATTCATGAACACAGGTTCGAAGGACCTGATGTCTGAATGCGCACGACAGCTCTCCGACTGGGCGTGAAACCGGAAACCGGCTGCCCACGAACACGCGAGTTTTCGGTTGCCGTTCCTATGCATGGCTTTTTGCAGTTTTCTCAGTTTTCTCATTTTGAGACCATCGAAACGAAGCCCTCTACGAGCAGATGTTAATGCAAAAAGAACACATGTATTCTCTAGGGCACCCAGTGAGGCTCCATGCATCGATGACAATTCGAGACTTAAGACATGTGGGTGTTTACCGTGCTTTTGTGGTTTGGCAGACTTTCTCATGTTGAAAAAATGTGCACAACCACACGTTCTGTTTCCGACCCGGAGGGATGTTTATGCGCGCTGTTGTTTGCACATTCCATGTAACCTCATAAGATATACGGCCCGAAGGTCGCCCCATACAGGAAGGACGAGCATGGATAGCCGCAGCAAAAGAGAACACGAGATCCCCCAGACATGTGTCCTTTTGTCAGCCCTTGCAACTGGTGATAGCTAGCCTCTGAGCCAGGGGCCATGGCCTTCATCCCTCGCAGAAGGGTGGAAACTCTTCCCGGGAAATGTTTTTTCAGTGCGTAGTAGTGGGTTTGCAATTTCATCGTGGGGCCTCCCGAACCAATGGGATTCTCTCAATTGAACGGGTCCCAACAGGGTGTCTCCTTGTTCACTTCGACATCCCTCTGCCTCACATTGCAGGAAGACCTTTGGAGCCCCATGGCTTCCTGCAACTTCGCTCAGACCTTCCCGGCCATCACCGCAGCGCGACGGCACTTTCCGGAGTCTAAGCTGCTTGGGTCACCCCTTTGAGAAGGATGGATCTCATATGTTTTTTGTTCACAAGGTAAGGAGGCCAAGGTTAGCAGGTGAGCACCTGTGGCATGATTTGCGGGTGAGTTGTTTTGGTGTTTTCGTGTTGTTTCATTGGGATTGCGTGTTGCTATATCGGTTTCGTGTGTGTGTGTGTTTGCTTGATGACCCCGCCCTGCCGTTCTGGTTGATTGGCAGTCTGGGGTCTTGAACTCATGTTTCCGCATGTTCTTCAATACCAAAATAATCAGAAATCATGGACCCCCCTGACGAAGATGCAACAGGACCTTTTAAGACCTTCACCTCATCAAGTCCCTTCCAGATTATCTCTATGAAGGCCACTCGTCCCGGGCATCTTCGTTTTGCCCACTCGGCCGCTGAGTCCAATGCATCAGTGACTGTGCGTCTCAACGGCGAACTTAAGGTTTCCTTCTCATTCGTTTCACCGGCAGAATCACTCACCGGCTGTCCGGCTGTAACTATATATACAAGGAGTTTCCGGCTCCAACTCACCCCAACTTGAAATTCTGAGCACACTTCCAAAAACACTTTGTCAGTCGTAAATCAAATACCACACATCAATACTCCGAATCGTTTGTTAGTCTAAAAGCTCGCCATCAAAGGATTCATCGCTCCAACCCTCGGACACCGAGGTCATGCCGCAGGGCTGGACTGTGGGCCAACGCATTGGCTGGAGCTTCGAACGACTCCAGAAGGCGCCAAAAGGAATGGATGCGACACTGCGACATCCACCCTGCGACGGTTAGGGCGCTCCCAACATGTTGAAAACATGTTGTTTATATGTGTTTATCAACTGCATGTAGGGCCAATGTATGGGGAAAACAAAGGGTTTGGGATCCATCCACTACAGGTGTTGGGCAACCAACATCACCAATATGTTCGCCCAGATTCTCAGATCTTGGTTGATCGTGGTGGGGATCTATGGGAATCTGACTGAGGGAAGAGGGTGGAAGAGGTGATCTACACAGAAGTCACCATCACAACATGTCGCCATGTATACTGTAAGTGCCAAAGCGGTGCTCTTCCAGCACTTTGGGGACTACCAAGCAATTGTACAGCACATGCATCTAATAATTCTAATAAGAGCTAAGTCAGCTAATGGTTGCTTATGGTGGCTTCCACACCCTTGAGTCAAATCCGTCGGGTTTTTACATGCTTGAGAGGTCATTGTCAATAGATCAAGAGTCACCAATATTTGTGGCAGATGACGGGCTCTACTTTGTATCAGCAGCTCTCCGTTGTGTGAGAGAAATCCAAGAAATCATTCCCATGAAATGCTGCTGGATTGTTGGATCCTTGCGTTCAGAGGTGAAGCAGCTCACCCAGCATGTCACCGCCTGAGTACGAACGCGATGGTGGGCGACTGCGGAGGTGGGCACTGGCTTGTGGGCACTGACACCTTTTAACTTTTGTCCAGTGAATTCCCATTCCCCCAGTTGTATGGATTCTATCCCGGCCATTATGTTTATATGGATTTAATTCAATCAATTCAATCTACATGAGAGGTTGCGCCAGGGCTTTTGGCTTTGTCACCGCAAGTTTGTGACCTTTTTATGTGCTTTGTTTCACAAAATCCCTTCTGAAAGGCATCGTTCTGGCTGTGCAAAAGGAACCTTTCCTTCGCTGAGGTATTGCAAACGTACCACGGAGATCCAGCACCTTAGCTTGTTCGACCTTAGACCGGCCTTTGTTCGACCTGGCGAGGTCGGTGCTCCCTTGGTTCAGATTGAGGCCCAGGATGGCCCAGGTGTTCTCATATTTTCTCCATACTTCCTGCAGGCATATGAACATCCATCAATTGAGAGGCTGAAGATGCGGAAGCTCACGGATGGGTGCCCAACTCTATTGCGCGATGTTCCAGAAGTTTGGTGCATAGATCGGCCTCTTTGGCATTTTGCCGAAGAGACCTGACGTCAGAGGTCGGTAGGAGGCCCAAAAGAATAAGGCCAATGATAGGCCACTGAACCACTGCATGATGAATAGTGCTGGAAGAACCCTCTTGGATAAGATAAGAATTCGATATAAGTGAGATTCGGGTGCCACATGCTTGCTGCAGGACAGCCGCCCTGTTGATGTGATTAATCTTGACATATGGTCGGAACTGTGACGGCCCAAATCCAGTCAAACAGAGATCAAGAAAGAAACACCACAGCATCGCTATTAGTAGTAAGGACGCTACTAGTAGCTCCTGGCCTTACTACTAGTAACAAGAAGCTACTGACTAGTAGCAAGGACGCAACAAGAAACTAATTGTTCCCCTGGGGGTTGAGGAGAGTGTACCTGACGACCCCCAAGGCTCGAGTGTCCCTGACGGGGCAATCCGCCGGGGGTGCCGGTGCGTGGCGCTTTGCCGTCGACTTTGGACAGCTTTGGTCCTCGGTGACCTGTCGCCACTGTCGGTTTGGGGGAGCTGAGCGTTGGGAGATATTTTGGAAGGTGGTCCGGTGGTAGACGGCTTTTGAGGCGGTTTGGGTTTGGTGACCCGTTGGATGATTTTGATGGTGGGTTTGGGTGGGGTGCTGGTGCGTTTCTTTGGGCCGGGTGGCTTTGTAGTCGGGACATGTCGGGAAGGACTCTCCTCGTTCCGCGCCACCCAACAAAATTCCATGCAGTTGAGCTGTTTGGACATGTTTGGACACTCTTGTCGTAAACGACCACATCGCCGAAACGGGAGCCTTGACGAGCCGACCATTCATGGGAGTGCTTGAAAAACTTTGGGGACATGTTGCGCTTGATCGGATGCCAACTGCAGTGGGAACGTGTGAGAACCATGTTTTTCTCAAACTACGGCAGCTATTTGCTGCGTTCGTAGCGATGCCGTTCGTCGCTCCCTTCGTCGCGATGCCCTCACCGGTTTCCCGTGAGGTCTCGGTGGTGTGTGCCCCTGCACCGCCGCAGCTCGCCCAAGAGCTGGAGGACCGGGACAAACCCGTGCACTTGGAAACCCTAACAGAAGAAAGGGTAGAAGGTAGCCTGTCAGAGCTTTGGTTTCTAGCTATAGCGATACATGGTTATTATATGATATTGTCGATATTGTTTTCTTTTTAGTTGGGGGGCACTATTGCCGTTTTGGCATGGTTTCATCACGTTCTTCTCTTCCTCCCGGCCTCGACTGGGAGCGAGCGATGCAGGGCCTGCCCATTTGGGTGATTGGTGATGCAGGCCGCCCAGAGAATCGGCGATGAGGGTCCCTTTCTGCACCCTTCGCTTCATTCCTCTCTCCCTTTGTTTCTGGGGCACCATGAATCGAACCCAGACTCGACAAATGGGACTGGCATATTCATAATATAGGCAAATAATGGCAAATGTAAATATTCTATACATGGAGTGTCTGGGGAAGTATAGCTGGTGCTTTCCCCAGAAAATGCAGCAGCAGTCCGAACAGAAACATCACATAACATCACGATCGGAGGCCCTGATCTTCACCGTCACTATCGTCTGGAATCCTGTGTGCAGGGGACATGGCCCAAAGCACAAGACAAGATAGTTCAAAATCACAACCTTGAGAGGGAAAGTGTGCAAATGAATTCAAGCTGGAGGGTGGGACTTTGTCATTCAACTCGAGAACCCACTCTGAAGACTCTGGAATTCAACTCGAAGCTACATAACTATTGCAAAGTTCGATCTGGATTGCTGGGAGTTGATTGACTTGATTGACCAAGTCACCGCAAGTGACACCGATTGGGATTGATGTGTTTTTACCTTCCAGATAACAAGTTCAAACTTCAAACTGTTTCGATACTCTCCTTAAATACCGTTGCAGGTTGCCTCCCCGTCCCCCAAGTGTGACATTTTGAACGAGTTGCAACGACAACACTTTCTGCCTTTTTCAAGTGGTAATCGAAAGGTATGGAATGCCGCCGGTGCCGCACATGTTTGGAGTACCAGTATCGGTCAACACGACAATGACAACGTTTATATAATGAGTGTTTGGTACCTTCTTTGGACTTTTGGCACCTGCCATTTTAGGAGAGCAAAACCCCCTTCGTTCTGAGCTCCCACTTGAGGAGACACGTCAGACATGCCTCGTGTCTCACACTTGCGCCAGGTGACGGCGAACGAGGCAACGACGCCCTGGTCGAGGCGCTGAAGCGACGCCACACTGGCCTCGTCCGCTACACGCGCTACACGAGCCTCGGCACCGCGCTCCGCGCGCTTTGAGCAGATCGCCGGGAGCGGCATCGCCGTCAGCGCCGTGGGACCATGCGACACTGGGTGGTGATCGAGTGGGAAGGCCGAGATCAGGCACCGAGCCTAAGTCAGGCACTGTTGTGCATTGGGATGAAGGGCAAGGACACAAACTCCGAGCGAAAGCTGAAGGCTGTCACCCATGATCTCGAAGCTGTTGCTGTCAGTCACTCCCAAGTTTCCAAGTCCCTATTCCCACTGGCCTGCTGACCATGGAAAACGGCTTTGACCTTTCGTTAGAATTTCTTTCACCCCAGGAAAGCTCCACCACCACCAGATCCCAAGTACAACTTCATGCTGGGCCATGGCAGTCGGGATCCCCAGTGGGTGAGGTGCCCGGCAGTGACCGTGCGGTTCGGTCGTTTCACTGCCGATGGCGCTTGGCGGTTCAGTCTGCGACATTGGCGACATGCAGGATTAACCCCCATCCTCGGGTCTATTCAGGCCAACGCCCCCTATCTACCATCCAGTCTTGGGACGGACTCAGGACTCAGCTCAAATTTGGATGACCCCAAACAGGACGCCACATGGTGCCGTGGTGGAAGCCGCATGACCCGAGTCTCCGGCGCAGGTTATGATCTGATCTATCGCGATCCTCGGCTGTGGCAGTGGGCCTTGGATCAACAACGGCCCAGTGCTGTCGATGCGTGGAAAGACCGGTAGGGTCAGCGAAGAAGACCTGTGGTCATTTAGGCTCCTTGCGCCAACAATAGTACCAACAATCCATGGATGGAATATGTTATATAAATAACTTAGTAGCCCTATGTATTTTAAACACGATCACAGACGTAAAACTACTCATCCACAGGGCAAATCGTCCAGTCCCATGGATTGCTTTGGGTAACAGTCCCACCGCTCATTGGGGCCAGCTCTCCTCGAGTGCGGTCACGCTGCCGGGCCGGTGAAGTCCCAGATGGCCACAAGAGCCGATGTGAGCTTGCCAACATGGAGTCAAAGATTCTGGGATGGCTAGCGGCTAGAGTGATCTGCAGAGAGAGAAAGAGAAAGAAAGAGAGAGAGAGAGAGATGATGCGAATTGCTGACAGGTAGGTTAGACTCTGTTAGTTTTGGGTTGGACCAGTGGATCTCCTTGTAAACATCCAGCAGTTGTTGATTGCTTTCTCTTTTGGGGGGACAGGCATGGAGATTGCCAAAGCCATGGCTCTAAACGCCAAAGGGAATTGATTGCCTCTAGACTCTAGACCTTCTCTATGGTTGAAACCTATAGGCCTGAACATAGACCTGCATGGAGTGTTCGCATGGACCTGCATTTGTTCTATGGGAACAGACCCGTACAGAGGCCGATGTCACTAGCTTGATGCAGTCAGTGTGTGTGTGTAGGGTATGTCTCATGCTCAGTAACCGTCGGTAGAAGATGAACACTATTATTGAGAAAGGCCTTTACTAACCATATTATACATATCATATAACATCATATAATCCATTGTTTGTTACTGGTAATGGGGTATTCAATATGTCTATATTTTTGTTATATAAATATATATATATATGTGTGTGTGTATGGTGTGTGTGTGGCGTGTGTGCTTCTTTGAGTGGTTCAGGCTTTGTGACTTCAGGAGATGGCTAAAACGGTTTGCTTTGTAGGAGGAACCCTTCCAGCCCATTCGGTGCCCAAGTCGCTCAAGTATGTCAATTCGTTAATTTTGCAACTAGAGGTGAGAATACTTAACTGTACAATTTAGAGAGTGTCCTGCACTTGCAAATAGGATTATACAGTCCATACAGTAGGCCATACATAATCCCATTGAACATACATTTTAGGTTAGATGATTTGTAGGGTTGGATTCCTGGTTGCTTCATGTTGCTTCTCAACGACTCGCTGTGCTCAGGAGCCCAGCTGTTTGGAGGCGCTGCTGCAGCGCGGCTTGGCGCCCGGGGGCCCGGTCGCTGCTCGTTTGAGCTCTTCAGTTGAGGGAGTGTCACGCCTGTCACGTCTTGCAGTCTGAAAGGACCTCCTTGAAAGTGAGACATCTGAGATCCTCCTTCGGAGTGTCCATGAGATGATTTGTTCAGGTGATTTGCAGGTGGCACAATTGAGAATTTTAAAGAGGGTCTCCCGAGTGAGGCGATACACCAGGTGGAGCATTTGCTAGACATGAGGAATGGTTCAACTGACTGCGGGAGCATCGCCTAGGGCCTAAGATACAAAAAAATCATTCAAGCACTGGACTTTGTATGGAGCATAGATGATGATAATTCCTGGAAACTGTCGCGTGGGTCATGTTCCACCATCAGCTCAGACTACAACCATCATTCTGGAGCAGATCAAAAATGCACCAAGCAAAAAAACATGACTGTTCTTTTCCTAATTTGTATCTTCCATCTACTCCAGGATGACTACACACATATACTATCATTTACTGTAATCAATATATTTAATTACAATGTGTATAAAATATATGTACAGATAGATCAATATTATAAGTACCAAACAGATCCCCAAACGATCCCGAAAACCCCCCAGTTTGGGACACCTTTGGGCCCTCCACCGAGTTTGCTGGAGCTGGGTCGCCCTTCGGCGGCGGACCACGTGCTGCGGGAGCGGACGACCGGCGACCGGCGTCATTCCGTCCGTGACCGGCGGTGACCAGTGACCGGAGGTCGGAGGTTGACCGGTATCGGGGGAGACCCGTCTTGGCCATCAGGTTGTTTCGTTTTTTGTTGGGAGTTTCAGGGAGTTTCCGGTGAGTGGATGTTGGTGGAGTAACGAGTTTCCTTCTGTTTCCTGTTTTGACCGTTTGGGACTAAAAGTTGACGTTTCGGTTTTTGGATCGGGGGTGACGTTGGGCACAATCGCCGAGTTTCATGAGAGGGTTGGATCATGGATCACCTAGAGAACAATAGTGCAAGACTATGATGTTGAGATGCTGCCTGAGATTGACCGCTGTTTCAATCAGTCGCTGACATTTGCTGACCGCCTCAGCTACGTCACAGCCTCAGGAGGGGCTTCAAGCGGACGGCAGCGCAGTCCTCGCACGCTCCGCTCCTGAAAGTCAGGAGGCAGCGGATCGAGGGATGCAGAAGAGCCTCTCAGTTCTCCAGGAGTACTAATTAGACAAGTATTAATTACCAACTGCTTCCAACGGGTCACCAAATGTCAACCCCACTGCTTATAGAGTTCTTGGCAACTCCAAGCATTTTGTCCTCGGCCGTTGGAAGGTCTTGGATCAGTTGGAGACCTATTTGAAAGATGAAGCCTTACTGCAGCAGGCGAGAGGAGACCATCCAGAGTCCAAGGTTGCGGATGTTGGTTTTGTTCAACTGATGTAATTTTGGATCCCCATCAAGTCCTTACTATCACTTCTGTGCAAAGGACAAATCCTACTGTACTAGGTGGTTTGCATAAAGCTTCCAATCTCAAGACTGTTTGCTTTGCGCCATCAGCCCTCAAACCGCTGTAGAAAGGCAATGAACATCAATGAACCCTGTGTTTCTTGTGTGTTTGTTCCCCCACGAACGACACCACCACTACCGGCCGGAATTTGGGGCCCTAACTTCTTGGGTGGGATGGTGCAGGGGGTCGGGACCGCGAGCGTTCCCACTGTTAACTAATTAGGACTTCTTGTGCTAAATCACGGGCAGAGCTTTTCCTTTTTGGGGGGCGAGGATTCCCGGATTCCTCCAAATTGAAGGGCCGTTCAGGCCGTTCAGGCCGTTACCGTGTCTTTTGTTTGGGCAACCCCAGGTTCCATCACGGCCCAAAAGCAGCATTTTGCCGTCAGTGGAACCCTTCGGTGATGCACACCTGGCAGAAGCTCCAAGGAAAACAAATTAGATTCCATGGCATTCCCCCATGACATGGTCATGCAGGGTGAGAGTAGATATGGGGAGAACAAGTTGCTGAACAGCACATTTCTCCTGAGTAGATGTAAGACATGGTAAGACCTGGCACAAGGCGATGGGAAGAAGTACTGCCAGGTGCAGAAGCTCAGGGAGACTGGGAATGAGCATGTGCGACAAGGTGGGTCTTGTTGTCTTGACCAGTGACACCGTCGACTGGGATGGCTTGCACAAGCACCAGCAGTTTTGTGGAACAAGTGCAGTTGAGATGCAGAGGAATGTTCTTGAAAGTTAGGGAGTAAAACAAACAGAGCTGCGGAAGATGGTAGAAGGAACGGCTAGCACCCAGTGTTGGGGGATGCTAGCTGCGGCCGGCTGCGAGGCCTGAACAGATTTATCTAACGGATCCAGGTTGTGGATCTCTCGATGATCTCAGGCATCCTGAGGATCCTGGAGAGCCATGGGTTCTTTGAGAAACCGCAGGCCGTATGTAGTGGCAGTCTTGATGATCCGAAACCAATCCACATGAGGGTGGGGTGGGCAGGTAAAAGCACGCTTTCCGAAAGCATCGTTGCACGCCCGCTCGCTTGAGGTCGTTATGCTGACGCCTCGTGGTGTTACGAAGACTGCCTGCAGGCCAACAGGAATGACATTTATATATATATATATACACCAGGAGAGCAAGCAGGGTTGACTTTGAGCCTCAGTTTGCTTTGTCCCACTGAAGATGAACAACTTCTGTGTCACCACCTGGGATGCGTATGAATTAGGAGGGATGGCCGATTTGTGAGATACATGTTGTCCTTTTTCTATTCTATTCCAAGATCCGAAAGACACGTCTCTTCGGTGCCGATGATCGCCAGGTCCTATGGGGCCAGGACCCCCAGCGTCGGCGGAGGACCGCAGGTTGACGAGGACGTCAGCAGAACGGCAGGTGGATGGACTGTGCGAACTCCGACGAAATCACCGAGGCTGAAAGTTTGCGCTCTGAGGTGCGTACCAAAACATGCAGGACTTACGGTCGAGGTGGTTCATGGACCCCCCCTCAACATCTCTAAGTCTTAGTCTTAGGCCTTAATTAGGCCTTTTCTGGTGCTTTCAACAGCCACCCTGGTCGACGGCTTTCGACTGCTTTCGAGAAGCAAAATCCTATGCCTCCACTGAGCGATGCGTGTAAGCTGCTGAAGAACTTAAGAACACGTCCGAGACTGAGTAATTAGTGATAATTGTGTAAATTATGTATATAAATAGTTATATTATTATATGGAATCATTGGAGTATATTGGAGTACTTCTTTTGGAATTCGACCAAGACTGACCTGTGGATGGATGGAGGGAGGGAGGGAGGAATGGAATGGAATGGAATGGAGTGGAATGGAATGGAATGGAACGGAATGGAATGGAATGGAAGGATGGATGGACGGACGGACGGACGGATGGATGGATGGATCAAACATGATCAAACCATATCCAAATCCAATCTTCAGTGCAAGTTCATGAAAGGACCTGGCCAATTTTGTTGTGTCCGACCGTGGCCCCCAGAAGTGGCAATCAACCATGACTTTGAGCCGCTGCAGTCCTCCAGCACCAAGGTAAGGATTTGATCTTCCCCTCTGAAGTGAAGGAGCGCGCGCAGCGCGCAGGCGGGAAGTTGGGGAAAAGTGCCAAGAGTGGATTCCCTCAATAAATGCCTCAGGGACGGGTGGTGGGAGAGTTGGATTCAGATGATTGAATTGCGTGGCTGGAGGGGAAGGAGCTATGACTGACTGGGGAGATGTGGAAAAGAAGTTAGGGGTGCAATCAGGGCGGCCTTCTTGCGAAGAAACAACTGCAACGTGGGTTCAGTGAGAAGGCGTCTCAACAAGTGAAAGCTACAGACTCACATCTCCTCATCGCTCCCAGGAAGACTGAGGTGGACCGGTTTAGGGTCCAGAAATCATGACCGGGTCATGTCCGGGAGATGAAGAGACGAGTTCCTTGAAGGTGTTGGGTGGCAGATGGTGGCCGTTGGTAGGCACCTTGGATTGACTCCGTTGAAAAACAAACACAAGCACTGCAAGCTTTTTTTTGGACTTTGGTTCGGGGGTTATTTCAAGCAATCAGTACAATCAGTCATGAACCCATTTGGAACCCACCTATGCAAAATGCCACAATAAATTCATCATACAGCTCTTCACACCCTAAACATCATTCTGGCAACATCAAGAAATGAACGCTCATCTTTGGACCTAAGAACCCTTCACCTTCACCGATGTTCTCCTTCACTTCTCCATGCAACCCCGGTGACGCACCATTTCCCCGCCGCTCCGAGTTACCGGGCTTTGGCGTCAGATCCGCGCGGCGGAGACGGCGGTGCTCACCAACCTGCCGGGGGCTTCGGCACAGCGAAGGGAACCAATATGGAACAAGAAGCTACGTTCGGGGCTCCTGGCCTTACTAGGAACAAGACGCTTCTTGTTCCTAGTAGCTTCTTGTTCCTAGCCTTGGAGTGGGGAGGTGGTGGGCCATGGAGCCATGGGTGTGTGATCGGCACACAAAGAAGCCCCCCTGACCCATCCCCAAGAGGTAGACTGGTCGATGGTCCTTCTTCCAGTCGGGGGATTTAATGGGGCTTCTCCCTAATTCTTATACACACACATGAGGTGATGAGCAGAAAAAATAACTCACTAGTCAAAAAATAGTCTGAAAGAGACTCACCAGTCAAAGTGAAACTGAAAGCAAAGTGAAACTGAAAGGCGAGGTTTATTGTTTTTTTTGATGCTCCAACTATATAACGAGGATCATTGGACAATGAAAGGACAATTTGTATGATTTGGGCTTTCTTATCAGACTTAGAGAAGGGTATACTGAATGACGGTAAACCGGTTTTCAAGTGGGTGTGGTCGCTCAGTCACTCGGTGTTTTCCACCTATCAGGTAGGGTGCCCTGGGTGGCCTGTGGTTGCCAACGTTTGGCACCTGCTTTTGAGTCCTGAGGTCTTTGTGCTGCCTCCAGGCGAGCGGAACACAGTTTGTTCGGCCGGGTTTTGTCTTGGGGCTTTCAAGCAAGTGCATGTCGGAACGAACCGGGGGGCAATGGCAACTTCGCACGGTGGAGTCCGTTTGAAACTACTCATACCTACCCAGACCATCCATGGGACTGGAATAGTTACATATAAATGTAGGTAGCTCTTCCAGACATGGATTGCTTGGGATAGGACATTGCACATTTCTATACCCAAGAATGTTCCATGTTTCATGCCACTAGGTCACTAGGCTTTGGAGAAAAAAGCGGCTGATACACTGCAAGCAAAACACCTTGTTGAGCTGGATGGGCAAAACACGCTGACTCACGAACTATATGATCCATATATGGAAACTATTGGAAACGAATTACTTTCCTTTACGAACTGAGGGTTCTCCACTTCCATGTGACGTGTTCGGAGTGTACTCCACCCAGGGTGAAGTGGACTGGGCACCCAGTCCCGAACGAGCCATGCAGCCCGGTGGCCCGGAATCTGCAGCGGAGATCGAGCGAGTGGACATGTGCGACGCGATCTCCCCAGTCGCACATGGCTTACTGATATATGTTCATGTTATTTCAAGTTACGTGTGCTGATATATATATATATATCTGGAGATATATATATATAGATACTCCCCCCAAAATAGCAACTCCCTTGATGAGGAAGCACCGTTTGCCCGGGGCAGATTTTTTGTTATGATTTTTTTGCAGTTCCTGGACGGGGACCATTTGAAAAGCCAGGGGTTCGGGGCATCATCGTTTTTGAGAGGGATTCTTTTTGTTGTCCCCTCACTGGGTAGCAGTACTGGATCATTGCCAATCGCCAACGCTGAGCATATTCAGCAGTAGGGCCCAGTAGGGTGGCGTGCCAGTTTGGAAGTGTTTAGGGTGGGTGTTGAAGACTCAGACGGTTGCCTCAATGCAGAGCCGGTACCAATGAGCAAACTCTCGAGTCCCAAGAGGTGACAGATCTTGGTCTGTGAGGCTTTGTGAGATTGCTCTCACCTACGATCCAGACCATGTGAAGGCGGGCCGAGTACAGCCGCCGTTGGGCGCAGACATGCGCAGACCGTCCGGCCGTTGGGTGTGGTATGTTTTTCATGTGGTCAAGGACCCTCGGCTCGCTGTTTCTGGTGGACTGCACCAAGATGTTTGTTTTCTTCCAGGAAGGTGCACGGGACTGAGTGTAGCAGCAAGGACGCAGGCTGCAAAAAAGATACCGCACGTTCATGAGAACATCGGCAAGCATGCGCTCGCAGACTCGTCAGGATGCCTTTTGGAACTGTTGAACGCTGTACACGGTAACAAGTTTTTCTTTTTTAATGATACGGCGACCACCGAGATCTACACATGCGGCAAACGGATGCAAGCTAACCTATCCAAACTCCTCCTTAGCAGGCGGTTGGGTAGCATAGAAGACGGGGGAGCTTTAAGCGGGTTCAAGGCCATGCGGCGCATGGCGCATGCCTTCATGGCGTTGCAACGCTACGAGGCACTGGGTGAAGTGAATGGGGATGATCGCAGTGGATGTGACAGCATTAGCAAGCTTTGTGGCTACATACCTCTCAAAGAGTGATGCAGAGTGATGCACCACATTAGATCGGCAAGGTGTTCACCGGTCATTCAGTGGGCACCGTCCTGTTTATCATGCGGAGTGGTTTTTCCATCCCTACCCCCCTTGAGCTACTTCCGGGGGGGGGACCTCAAAAAGGTAAGTTACATTTTAGGGTACCCCCCTAGAGGGTCAAAAAATGTAAGTTACCCCCCCCCCCAGGCACCATCGAAACTAGTCAAGGGGGGGCAAAAAAAATGTAACTTGTTGCCTGGGACGTGCTTACTTACATTTTTCCACCCCCCCCTGGGGGGGGTCGGCAGATCGATGGGGGGGGGGGTCTGGAAAATGTAACTTGGGACCTGGGAGGCCTGAACTTACATTTTTTTTACCCCCCCCCTAGGATGCGTTGGCAGATCGAAGATACGCCAATCACTAAGAAATTATTTGCGGGTGGGAGTCACTTAATGAAATATTTTCTAAATAAGTAATTAACTAAAAGTACTATTTGGCAACTGTTTGCTGATGCCTCAACACCAAGGAAAACATAGCCTCCAAAAATGCCGGACCAGGACACAGGCAAAAGGTGATTTGCAGACGTCAAAAATTGTAACTTACAATTAGTCCACGCATCCAAACCCTCAGATTTTACAGGGAATACAATACATGGGTTCTGTGAGAAAGTTTGACCTCACAAATTGTAACTTACATTTTGGCCACATGCCCAACTCCCCAGAATTTACAAGGAACTGGGGTGTCCCCCTGAGGTACTTACATTTTAGCATACTGAAAAGCACACACGTCCGACCACACGAACCGCAAGCAGGGGGCAAGAAACCAGGGGATCAAACGGCGTTGAATATCCTTGTTCTCCTGCCCAATAGAACAGGCAGCCTCTCCTTTATTGTTCTCCATTATTGTTTATTGTGTATGGAGTGTGATCGTTTGTTATGTTTGGGTTTCGCTTTGTTGCCTTCCTTTGGGGTCTTCAGTGGGAACATGTATGTTCCTGTTTCTTGGCAGTTTGCTTTGGGTGTGCTTCCTGTTCTTCTTTGTTGATGATGACTCAGACCCACTGCTGTTCCCTCATCTGCTTTGTTTTTGTGTGGCTTGTTGCTGCAGAAGGAGTTGTGTATGGAGTTGTGTATGGAAGACCCCCCCGGCCAAAAAGAATTGGAACAAAACAACATATACATTTTATATATTTGTTTTTTCAGTTCAAACATGCTAATGATGCAGCCGGCCGCGGGCAGCATCATTCAACTTGATGGCTGACGGCTGACATGTTTCGGCAGGCATTTCCTTGAAATGCCGCATTTGACCATGCGGGACGTGGTCGTGAGCAGAAATTAGTGTGGGGATGGGGGGAATCTAAAATTGTAAGCGCTCCTCTGTGCCTCAAAAATGTAACTTACATTTTTGAGGTCATTCCCCAGGAAATCGCCCATGAGGCCTCAAAAATGTAAGTTACCTTTTTTGAGGCCACCTCAAAGTTAATGTAATTACATGTTTTGAGGCCCTGCGCGCAGGAAAATGTAACTTACAATTTTCGCCCCCCCCCCTCAGGATAGGGATGTTCTTCCCAATTTGATATGCGCTATATATTTGGATAGCAAGCTCTGCATATCCTGCAAAATCCTGCAAAGTGGATGGCAGCTGGGTCGCCAGACCGACCAAGAAAGAAACGTACCCTTGCCAGTTGTGGTACGTAGGATGTGGCATAGAAAGTCATACCGGCAAATATTTTCCCTTTTAGGAAGAGGGACCTCAAGAAAATGTAACTGAAAAGGAGTAGGGATCACAAAACATATCAAAACACAAAACATTCCTACAACTACACCTCTTACGACAACTGCAGACTGATGTGTCAGAATGTGTCAGGCCCAAACGGACAAGGCCTTGATGCCCCCCAAGATGTCTCAAGTTACACAACTGGGTTTTTTTGCGTGTTTTCTGACTGTGTCCTTTTAGGACGCTGAAGCTGTGCTCACCTCTGCGGCACGGAAGCGGCCGCAGGATGCTTCACTGCGGCAGGCAAGTGGGATGAGTGGGATGAGCGAGCTGGAGGGGGAGCTATACCAAAACTATCCCAATTCTTGGGCGGGTTAAAGAGAGTGGGATAATACATTGACAAAGATTATGGAAATCAATCAATATGTTTTCGGCAATTTTTTGCCCAAGGTGTGAGTGTGGTACAGGTGGTGGACGTGTCACACACACACACACACTATGCCCCTCCAACACCCCCAGCTGCGGCCCTTGACGAGGATCTCAAGCGCGCCCAGCATCGAGCGGATGAAGTGCGGCGGAAAGCGCGAGACTGGGAGCGGGAGGCCCGATCTGTCTTGAAGCCGCGTGATTCACGTGTGTTTGAACTGACATGAGCCAAAAAAACACGGACGGGTAATTAGTAGAGTAGTAGCATGGTGAAATCCTTCATGCAGAATTCGCTGCACCGCCACAACTCATGCTGAATGTGTCATTTAGTTCGGCAGGCTGAACGACATCCACAACGACGACCCAGCGACACACACAAACATATATATATAGATATATATATATCAGATAATTACATATTATATATATTATATGTATATGTACACATGATACAGAACAATGTATGCAAATGTTTGTTCAGACCTCATATCGTACAAGGGATCCTTTAAATGGATGTAAACTGTGTGATGGGGAACCTTTCCACAAGGCAGAGGGTCGGCGGATTTCAGTTGTTCATTTCTTGTGTGTGGACAATTTAATTTGTACAGATCCAGGACGACATCAGCACAGCTGGGGTGACCACTGGTCCGGTGTCCGTAGTCCAAAAGGAACGCAAATAATACTTACAGTCTTACAGGCCCAAAGGCAAAGGAAAGAGTTTTAGTCGTCTTTGCCAGATTGCAGAGACAGGGTGCAGCAAATGAGACTGACGTATATGATGAGACCGAAAGCGGTTCTGACTTAGGTGCAACAGACAAGCTCAACCACTTTAGACTTAAGCGCCGAGACATACTGACATACTGTAATTCAATATGAAGACCACCGCTAATAGGAATTGTTATGTTTAGATGTTGGGATCAGGGCTTACGTACTGTACCGTTTTTTCGCTTCACATGGTCAAGTTCGAGACCATTCCAACGATGCATTGACGCATCGGTGATGGATGTGGGAAGATGATGATGCTGGAAGCAAGTCATTCTGGATGGTGAGCCGCTTGTTGAAGCAAGACATGTCAAAGGAAATTGGTGCGCAACTCTCCACAAAGATTACCAAACGAGATCCTAATCCTTCAGCCAAATTCCTGCTTTTGGGGGCCTGTGGCAGGGCTGTAGCCTTCTACCACATCCTTGCGCGATCACGTAGGGTGGACCGGGTTCGAAGCGTGAGGCCTTCCGCGACCTCTTCGAACGGCTGCCGGGCTTCGCGACGCCCGAGGTTCGGGCGGCAAAATATCGGGATGTCCAATGACCGTTTTTGATTTTTCTTCAGATACCTAAGCCTCAGCAAAAAGACCTTATTTGTCTACTATTATTTCTTTGCTGCAATGTGGACGCTTGATGAACAATTCACCTCCATCTAGATGGTAGAACTTGTTCTACCCCTCTCGCTCGGATGTCCGCCTGAACGAAGCCCGGTGTTGAGGCGTGACACCACGAAAGCCACTGTAGACTCTCAGGTCTATCAGCAGCACAAAGATCTATGTGAGAAAAAGGGGGCACAATGAATATGAAATTGGACATTCCCAGGTGGATAGAAGCGTAGAACACCCACCCACGAGAAGGCCAGCAAAATCAGAAAGTTCATCAAGTGTAAAACGCGGAATGGCTCCAACAATAGCTGCCTGTGGCAACGCACGCCCTTTTAAGGCGGTCTTGGTCGGTGTGACCAGGGTTGAAGTCGCTGTGATTTCGGATTTTGTTGACAAAGGCAAGGCCCTCCCCAGCCAAAAAGTGAGGTCTCTGAAAGTCTTATCACTAGCAGCACAAGCGCGCAAGTGAAAGCCTCTCTTCCAAAAAAAAGCAAAATTCAACAAATGAAGTACAAGCGTCATCGTAAACACGCCATTGGTCGGGAAGTCAAAAAACGATGATAGATCCTGAGGATCTAACTTTGCAAGGCAACCTTGCGGCGCCTCAATGCGAAGTTGCGAGGTCCAACTGACATTTCCTGGTTTTGGAACCCAATCCCAGCGAGGAAAACGTGTTTGATAATCAACATCTTGAGAAGAAGATGCCGGATTCTCACGACCAGCCTTCAACCTCCTGTTGAAAATCTGCTCCTATCACACGGTTCCACCTGGCCAAAAAGATTTGTCTTTCAAAAACTCGGTTCTGAAAAATATCGCATAAGCACCTGGATGTACTGGAGCGAACTTTGCTGCAGACTTGGCAATTGAGTCGGCCACACGATTCATAATGGACTGACGTGTTGTGTGGTGACGGGCTGCAAGTTCTTCTGTAATTGTATGATCAAGGCACCCATCAGCCCATCAGCGACGTTCATATGGGGGGCGTCTACATGAGTGACGCAATGTTGACCGTTGCTCATCGCATCGGTTCGTTGCAGAGACCGAAGTGAGGCGTGCAACGGTGAGGACCAAGAGGATCGGTGGCCGGAGACGCAGTTCCCTACGCCGTCGCTCAGCTCAACGAGTGGCCGACCTGTTTTTTCTATAGGTGCATCCCTACTAGTAATAAGGGCATTACTACTAGTAACAGCTACTAGCTACTAGTAGCATCTAGTAGCGATGTTTTAAAGGGGTGTGTGTGTGTGTACTAAGGAGACAGGTGAGGCAGTAGGAAACAAAGGGATGGATCCAGTCCGATACGCAATTGCACATGACTGCTGTAGCGGTAAATTGCTCAGATCCGGGAACCTTAATTTAATTGCATGTTAGTTGTGAAAAGCGCGAAATGCCTGGGAGGATGCCTCTCGTTTCAATAAATCCTTCGGCTCCGCCTGTGAGCCCCAAGAGATGCTCGTGGCCTTTCCCCCGGAGGTCGCCCAGGTGACCTTCCCAGGGTGGCCAGAGCACCTCCACCGAGGCAGAAATGCCTGGGAACGCAGGAGGCGCACCGTTCTTCACTCTGGGTGGACATGCAAGCGAAGAACTACCGAAAGGAAGTGAAGCGAAGCGTTTGATGGTTCAAGGACTCCAAGAGGCTTGAACCTGGGCCGCTGCTGAGCCCCAGGTTCAGTTCCTGATACTAAGTTCGGCAACCGATCGCAGGAAGACCAGGGAATGACCATGAATTACCCAACGAACCCCTTGCCTCAACCTCCTTCCAGGTGCAAGACTACGTGACACACTTGTCGGAAAGTCTTCAGCAGGCTTGGAAATGACACTTCATGGGCCATAGCGGCAAGCTTTTGCTTTCCGGTGAACGTGAGAGGAAGGCTTTATCAGGAAGAGATGGAAGAGATGCGGTTTCAAGAGTCATCACCATGTGTAAAGTGTAAAGTCAGCACGGGACGCTCACTGTTACAGACTGGACTGGACCTAGTTGGTAGAGGAGGGTCACAACCCCCTGGTGGCAAAGGTTTGGCCTAGGCCAGTGCTGACTGGGCCAGTGACAACCGGCCCAGCGCCGACTGGGCCAGCTTTTTTGTTGGCCTTTTGATGGCCTTTTTGTCATGAGGAGACTGCGTTGAGTCACTAAATATATATATATATATATATTCCAGCCGCCCCCAAACCAGTTCACAACAAGAAACCGAAATGGAAGCACGGATTCTGATGGACACAAATCCTGGAGGTTAGAACAGTGGAGGGATTTTCACATCGTAACTCTATGGTGTCCGAGTTTCCCCAACGTAAGTAGTAAGATGTAGCATATAAGTATTTACATGTATTTACCCATTTTGTCCGGAGACCTGCTCCTGGTCTCCCGCCTTCCAGGAAGGTGAGGCCGCGTATATGATGGAGTTGCCCGTGGCCTCAGAGCGGTCCATTGGACCCGGCACCGTCCTCCGATCAAAAGAAAAAGACTTTCTGAGTCAAAAGCCGGGTGTTGAGTCCGAATCTTGAGCCTTGGATCATTCATGAAAACATGTGATTTGTTCTAGTATGATTATATAGTTATAATGTGTATATATATATATTATACATGTCCGTTTGTCTATAATATGTGCATTTTTTTTCGGGTGTTTTCGGTGAGGTTGGCAGAGGTCTCCAAGTCTTGGAGATGAAAAGGGTCAACCGCATCCATTGCCGATGCGTCTGGGCTGGCCGAGTGACCATCCAGTCCTATCAATATTGACACTCACAAATGACCCGAACTCGTCCAAGCACTAGTTCAGATCCACCTGGGCCCTTTTTCAGCCGCCCATGTCAAAGGCCAACGGCTCAACCGGCCGTTGGAGGCCGTTCCAGGCCTTGCCAACCTTCCTTCCCTCCAGGCTGTATACGATCCGCCACGCGGTCGAGATGCAGTCGCTGGGTGGCATGTGTTGTCCATCGGCTCACGGGATGGGAGCCGAGAAAGCCACGCTTTCCCGCGGGTTTGGTGCGCCTGGGCGAACCTGCTTGAGAGTCCGAAAGATGGGGAAGCTCTGGACGTACCTGGGACGACCCCACCATGGGTTCAGGCCAGCTCCCTGGAATGCAAAGGGAGAAGCTGTTGGATAGACTGATGGTCGCTGGCCTTAGATCTTTCGGTTGTTCGTTCAGGGCATGGCAATCCGACCTAACACTACCTACATCATCCACTGCTACACGCTGGGCATAAGCAGACCCAACGGTCTTAAGCCGTTGGCAACCCCTACACCTCTGGTTGTGGCCGAGGTAAAGATAGATAATGAATGATAATTGTTTTTCCTCTCACAGCATTTGTTTGTCAGGCCATTGTCTAGATGACTCACAAATGGCCTGACAAAATCAGGATGAACTGATTGTCTATGGTGAAGTGTTCAATATGATGAACACTTCGAATTGAAGTTCCTGTCATGCTAAGCCGTGCCTACCGATGTTTGCCACTACGCTCTCGAGGTGGGGCTCAGGCTCTGGCAAACAGCTACCGCGGATTGTTCCTTTGGTGCAGGTGGGGCGGAGGGGTTTGGGCAGCTTCCGGCCAAGATCAGAGTGAGGTCGTGGGTGTTTTTTTTGTTAACTTGTTGCTTCTTGTTTCTTTCAAGCTGAGATGAAGCAAAAAGAAGCAGATTTTGCTGGAATTGAAGCGGCCTCGGCTAGACAACATGGAAACTTAGGTCGAATACCCGGGGTTCAGTGTAAGCTGATCCACGAACCTTTCTTTTCAAATCTTCCTCTCTACGTGATACATCAAACATCTATATAAATCTTTGGCCGATTTCAGGTGTCAGTAGTGTAGGCTCTTGATTTATCAACCCTCCCATTTGGATTGAAACGACCTCTTCATATGAAAGGGTGGGGCTTATTAGAATCAAGGAATCTACGTTGATGGTGTGACACCACCATGAGAGCCAGTCCCAATCGGCTCGTGGACGGAGCTCGTTTGAGGCTCGGCTCGGACCCGGCGAGGCTTTAACACGGAGCATGGGTGTGGTGAAGACCCACGAGCCGGGCAAGGCGGGACGATCACCTGATCACCCAAGGCGAGCGGATCCTTTCTCCATGTGTTTTTTTTCTCTCACTAGGAGCAAAGGGCATCGCTACTAGGAACAATGCTCGCTACTAGGGCTCCTGGCCTTACTACTAGGAGCAAGGACGCTACTGGGTGGGGACAGCCTTCTTTGGTGATGTTCTTTGGTGATTGTTTGTTAACGGTGTTTTTGTACAGAAAGGCTGGCTTGTTGCCAGCGCCGAAACTACTAATAATTTTGGCATATCATATCTATCAATATGCTTGGCTGTTTCGCGCTGTCAACAATTCCTTTTTGCCTACTACAATGGTTCTGGGTTCTTCAGTCATCATTCTTTCCCTATAATTCATGGTGTGTTTTAACCAAAAAACAAAAAAAAACAATGTTTTCCAGACTAGTCTGAACATAGCTAGATCTAAGTAGTCCCCCACACATTGGTTTTTTTTGGTTCCTATGATGTAGGATTAATCCAGATTAATCATGAGTGATGTGTGTTGCACAAGCTTTCTTTGTTTGTCTGCAGGTATTGGCTAAGATAATATTAGACTTCAATTGCATCCAGCAATGGCTTCCATCCTCACCAAAGCGAGCCAAACCGCATCAACAATGAAATGCGTCTCTCTGGAAAATGTGAAGGCCATTGAAACAGAACCAGAACACACCTTCGACGCCATCCCCATGAAGCCGCTGGAAGGCACCAAAGTGAAAACAGCCATTGAGGTGATCAAATATGTTCCAGAACATGGCTTAGATGTGGGTATCCTAGTGACACTCATCAACGAGAAGAAGTTCAACCAACTTCCTGGCCCTCTCGCTTTGCAAGCTGACATCCCTATCCCCTTCGCAATGCAAATGGTCTTTCGCAAGCTCAGTGTCAAGGAATACCAGGTTCTTCGACACTTCACCTTTGATCAGAAGTTGGACGTCCGCCTTTTGAAGTCTGCTGTCTCTGGTGACTTGTACATCTTGGACTACGGCAAGAACTTTCGTAATGGACAAGCTGGGTGTCAACTTCTTCTTGAGAAAGTGGGTCACTGGGCAATTTTGAGTTCGTCTCCAAGAAGATCGTGAAGGCCAAGGAGAAATCTGCTCTAGAACTTGGCTTTGACTACATCAAAACCAACGGGCCAAGAAGCAACATGGGAAATCGTCAGACTGAGTGGGCCGAAATTGAAACTCATCGTGAAGGTAGCCCCATCTTTGGCTGGACTGCAGGACTTGTCAAGGAGAGTCTTCGGGGCTATGCAAATTCCAACATCTTTGTCGAGCCCACGCACAACTACTTTCCCACCATGCACGACCTTAGCAACTTGTTTCTGGAAGAAGTCCTGTGCCCTCTTCTACCAGATATGAAAACCAAGACTTTGGTCATGTTGGGCAATGCTGGGGCTGGCAAAACACCAGCTGCTCAAGCCATTGCCATGGCCTTTTCCGAGTATTGGATTTTGCGAGCTGGTCATGAACATGAACTCCGTCCAAGCTTTCGTCTTTCCAATAGCCTCGAGAACTTGCGGGGTGAGCCCGGACTACGGGAAAGGCCAGACATTCTAGATGACTCTGATATGAGCAACATCCCGCTTCCCAAGGTCAAAGCCTTTTTGGATAGCTCCTTGGCTGAAACCTTCACCGTGGAGAGGTGGACCGCCACAAAATTTGTTCTCAATCAACTTCGAGTCATCTGCGACAATCGCGTTCATGCTGAAGCTGAAGAAGGTCTCAAGATTGGCCAAACTGAGATTCCTTTCCATGTCTTCATGGACTACATCAAGACAGCTTTCCACGAAAAGGCGCAAAGGGAGGACATTCAAGCTTGTCTCAAAAGGTCCCATTTCATCCTCAACATGAACGAAGCCATCTACGTCCGCCCAGCTGGCGCTGGGGAGTTGCCAGTCCGCATTGTCCGCTACCCTGAGACTGACAACCGTGAAGTCATCAAGGATTTCATTGCTCCTGAGGGAAAACCAATCATTGCTCAGATGATGGAAGGCAACCCTACTCCTCCGTCCAATTGGCTGCAAAAACGGCAATGGTGTCATGATCTCCTGACCTACATGATCGAAACCAACAACCTGGAGATTCCACCTGCCCGTACCATTCGTGGACGATCTCTCTTTGGTGGAACCCCTTCCATTCAAGAAGTCAAGCCTCGTCTGCCATCTTCCGGTCGCACCTGCGTTGAGATTGTGGCGCTGAGAGCACACTCGCTGCATCACCTGAACATGCTTTCGATCGTCCTGGTGTACCTTTTCTACAAGTGAAGCAAGAGCCATCCTCTCCAGACCGTGCTCGCTTTCCTGCTTTGAAAAGAATGCGCACCAGTGAGGTGATTTCCTTGGACACGCCTTCCCCTGCCAAGCGCTGCTGTGCTTCATCCAGGTTTGCTGAGGATGATGACGATGGCTTTCCTCAACCTGGAGATCTGATGATGCTTTCGATGAAGGCATGGAGCATGAGTGAGTGAGCTACTTCGGCAAGTGAGGGCCGCGCGGTAGAATTTTAAATCTTGGCTCCTGGCATCTGTATACAAGAATAAAAAAGGTTTTGCCGAATGCTCTTGTCAACTCATTGGTGATGTACTATCCCACATTTAATGCAGGCAAGCGTCTCCCGGAACTGTCAAACAGTATTTGCAACGCGCAATTTTATAGTACCCTGTTGGCTCTCTAGTTTGTCGCTCCTTCAAGTAAAGCAACTGTAGCCTGTAGCCTGATGACAAAAGCCATGCGTGCTTCTCCAGTCATGAAGAAGGACATCTACAAGACTATGAAGAAGATCCCCGTCCACAAGTCTTCTCTCAAGAAATGTCCTTGTTGCCAAAACAACTTGTCCCGCAAGAAAGAGTACAGCGTCGTTCAAGCTCGCCTGTTCTCCAGTGAATCAATTACTACGATTGCTTCCCAAGGGCTGTACTGTGGCCGAAACCGGTGCAAACTCTACTTCAGGCACAACTTTGTCTGGTTGGGCGGGCAGAAGATCAATTGCATGAGCTTCAATGAGATGAAAAAAACTGGGCTCTACTTTGTCACCTCCAAGACTGCCTTCACCATGAAGTACCTCGAGCTGTGTTATCTTCGCCTCTTACGCGCCAAGACAAGGTTTGGGCAGGAAGCGGCAGTTCGCCAAATCGAGATGACACTGACATGTTCTGGGGCCACTCCTCCTTCCGTGATCATCTGCTCCATGCACTCGAAGGTTACGCCCTGGCACGCCGTGACCCAACCAAGGTCATCGAGTTCAACGTCGACTTTCCAGCCAAACATGTCGTGAAGGTGTCCAACCCAATGCTCTTGTTTCCACCTTCTGTGCCTGTGAACTGTGTTGCTTTTGATGGTCACTTTGGCGTGCACAGGGCGTTACTTTCTCCTGTGGAACCTGGTCGGCAAGTCAAGCTCAAGGGTCGCCCTATGAAGCGTCTCTATGAGCATGACCGCTCATGCCACTGCAAGCAGAAAGATGCAGTCCGCCATGTCCTACCTGACCGCACCGCCGGATGGCAATTTGCCATTGACCCTGCAACTGGCCAAGTTCTGGGTGCGTACGAGCATGTGGTCAATGAGCGAAATGAAGACAAAGTTGCTCTACTCAAGAAAGTCTTGGCCATGCCTTTGGTATCTGCTGATCTTCTCCTACATGACGATGCTTGCCACTTTGAGGCCTATGTCCAGAAGCACGCTGGTGATGCTTTTGATGGTGTCAAGTACTACCTGGTTGATTGTTTCCATATGAGAAACCATACTTGTAGTAAGTCATCTTGGAGTAGGAAGGAAAAGCAGCGTGTACAGGCCGTACGTACGAATATGTGCGAATCGTTCAATGCTTGGCTGCGTCCCTTGAACTTTTTCCTCAACAGCCTCAGACCTCAGACTCATGAGTTTTGGGTGGAAGAAGCTATTCTCTTCCACAATGACCATGCTAAGGAATTGTCGCCTTTCATGCAGTCACGGTCGAATGCAAAATCTCGATCCAGGCGTTGAGTATAGGTCTGATCAGGTCTGCTAGGTGTACAGACAATTTTGATGACGTCGTCCCTCCACATCGAACAAACGTAGCTTTGGAAAAGTTTTCCTCTGCGTGTATTCTGCTCTGCTCTGCTCTCAGTCTCTGTCATGAAGTAGGAATAACAATAGGCCATACCATACTTAGAACATAGTCGTGTTTTCTCCACCCCATATTGATCATAGGACCATAGGATTAATCCAGATTAATCCATATGGTTCTAAAATATTCTAAATATCAGTGAAACATGTCTTTCATTCAAACATGGATCACATGGAAACTGTTGTCTGTGAGAAGCATCTGTGGATCCAAGTCAATATCCTGCACTCCTTTGCGCCATGGACCTCAAGGGCAAGGCAACGCTCCAGTCTGGCAACAAGGTGGTTCTGCAATTGGAACTGGCTTCTTCTTCTTCAGCGCCTCCCAGTTCTCCACCCCAACCAGAGCGTCTCTTGAGACAGATCGAGGATGGGGACGTGCTTGTGCATCCAACCAAAGCACAGATTTCGGCCCGGAGAACCCAAATGCAGATTTGTAATATTCAGAGAGGATGTCACCTTATCATCGGTGCTGCCGGACAATGGAATGCCGAAGCTCATGAGAAACTCCTTCAATGGCTCTTGAAGGCAGAACAGAAGCGCTCTCGGACCGAGACACCATCGCCGTCCTCTATTCCAGCCCTACAAGATGCGCCTGTGGCTCTGGCAATCATGGATGGCAAGATGGATGATGTGGATGCGCAGCCAGATCTTCAGCAAGCAGTTCGTGCACCTCGTGAGCAGCCCCCCAACCTCAAGGAAGTCCAGGCCCCGAATGTCAAGGAAGTCGAGCCCCCGAATTTGGCGGAAGCCATCCACGAAGAGCCTCCGAACCTCAATGAAGAAGAGCAGATGACTCATCTCAGCACCACTCACCGAGGGCATCCGAGCCAGACTCATCCTCTTCCTCGTCTTCTACATCTTCGCCAATCCGCAAGCTCCGCGAATCGCAAGCCACCATCCGAGAAGTGCGTGAGGGAGCCAGTGGCAGTGATTTGTGCAGACTGCGCTAGGGCGGTGGATCATCTCCACGGTCTTTTGGCCAAAGCTTTGGAGTAGATAACTTGAACAATGACTTTATAGCGTCTTCTGGCATCACAACTTTGCAATAATATATCTGGAGTGTAGCAGCAAAGCTTTGCAGTCATATAAACAGCACGTGTCTGGATCTCGCATCAAGGATGATGCAGCAAACTTGGTGATAAAATCCGCTCTGTCCGGCGCTGGCAACAAGCCCCTCCCTTTTTGTATAGGTTGTTCTCGAAATACGGATGTGCGATGAATTTTCTGTTTGGGTTCGTTTGTGTTGTCACAATCAGTTAGTAATCAGTGTGAATCAATTTGGTTGATACACATGCACACATACATACATAAGCATATACACTACATTAAGTCCTACATTATATATTAATATATCTAACATATATTAATATTATTAATATATACGATGTATATATATATAAATCGTTTGCAAATTATTCAATCATAGTATGACACATGTCAGCTGTGAAGAGTTGGTAAGAGTTCTGGCTGCGACCAGGTGAGCGTACCTTTGCTTGTGCAGCTCACATGTTTACCGCATGGCATCAACGAGAAGAGCAACAACAGCAGCCATGGCCATGGCAGCATCTTCAAACGCAAGGACAAAGGCGAAAAAGAAACATTGTTTAAAGGTCAAATCACTTGGTAAAAAACAAATAACAGTAGTTACTATGTTATTTTCATTACCTTGAAAGGTAGCAAAAGGTTGATGCCAATCCTTCCGAATCAGACCCGCAGATCCGCAGGGCCAGCGATGTTTGGCCTCCTACTTGGTGGGCTTGCAGCCGGAGCCGTGCTGCATGTGGGTGGGACTGTGACCATCGACACCCACCAAATTCACTCATTCACCAGAATTCCCATGTGTTCTTGGGGCACGAATTCATGTTGATAATTCCTCATACATGGACAGCTCAGAGATGCCTTCGCAAACGTTTAGGCTAGGCCCAAGAGGAGGTGTTTTCATTGAACAAGGTTTTCAGGATTTCATGTTTTTTTAGCTGCTGAAGCTATGATTTGTTGGTGTCTCAAGGTCACACATGAATGATGGTGAATCGGGCTAGTGGCTAGAAGTACTGTATACATTAGCTGAATATAGGAAGAACTGATTCTCCGCGGGGGCTACTAGGATTGAAATATTGATCCAGAGAATCATGTTTTGGAGAAGGCCATAACAAGAAAGAGTTGCTGCATTTGTCAGGTGATAAAGGTGTAACACTTATTGAAGAGACTCCTCCTCAGGCCTCCCGGTCAAAAATACTGCAAATTGCCTTGAACAGAACTCCTTTTCGTGGCTGTGACATCCAGTTTTGCCTGTTGATTATTGTGCATTTGTTTTGAGGTGAGTTCTTGACTTCCGACTGGAAAACTTGAAAGTTTGAACATCAACCGATTCCTGAAACCTCTCGCAAGTTGGCGAGTGTGCAAGCCACATGTTTTTCCATTTTGCATGAAGCATCACCCCGTGTGTGGCTGGGATGGTTTGCCTTAACGAGAACATGTTCCTGTGACCTGGAAAGGGGTTCATGTATATACGTATGTATTTAAAAACATTAATATATATATATATGGATTTAGAGTATGAACTACATATTTGTTAGCTAAACTGTTGCTTCTTCCTGGCCTAGCTGCAGCCTGCCAGGCTTCACACTAGAGACGGACTAGCCGAAGGGATCCGATGGACCGACACGTCCGGTCTCACCGGAGACCTGCGGCCGGGAGGAGAAACCCTTGCACGACAGTGCCGATGGGCCTCTGGTGGCTCGTCCGAAGATGCCGTGATGAGGACAGCTGCCACTGCCGACGTCGAGGACTTTTGTTGGACATGTTCAACTGCTAATGAAGAAACTGGACAAAAATCCATCAACTCCCTTGCCGGTGGGCAACTGAAAGCTGCGGTGGATTGGTGGAGAGGAGTTTAGCCACATCACTGGCTGCTTGGGGTGTTGCCCGTGTTTCTTTTTGATCTTTCAGATGCTCACCCGCCACAAGCGGGAACATATGAAACTTAGCTTGCAGGAAGAAATGCATCTTGCTCCACGGTTGCATCGATCACCTCAGCATGTCGGAATGGTTGTTCATTCATGTCAACGATGTGTATATATATATATATACACGTGAAGCAGTCAAATTCCATGTACCTATGCGAGAGGTGGTTTGTGCCGAATCAAGGCCTGCGAATGTCCTCAAGTTGCACTGTTGCCATGGCACATTGAAGAAGCAGCAGTCCAACGGTGCTTATGCAAGACAGCCTTAAGCAACATGCTAAGCATGAACATTGTTTCGCCATCACTACAAGTGTTTCAAGTGTTTCGATTGTTGTCCACCACAATTGGCACCTCGGAAGGTACATAGTTGATACGTGCCCGAGAATGCGAGTGCCGCGGCTTGTGATGTGTCTAGGCCTGTAAATGTCCTCAAGTTGCCTTGTTGCCATGGCAGCTTGAAAATACAACAGGTCCAACACTGCTGTCGCAAGACAGCTGGAGGCAATAT